GTGTTGATAAGACCGATGTGAGGTCGAAACTGCAGTCCACTTCTGTCTGGATGAGAACAACTTTTGGGAAGCAAGGCTGTGTCGACTTCACTGGAAACGTCAGTTCTACTCATATCATTGTGGGAAAATTCTACTACCAGTACTTCATAATCTTGAAGGAAATAGGGTGAATACATCTCATATGAATGTGTATATCAAAATCTGCTTTGATAAGTCCATCAGTCCAAACTCATAAGAGCTTCCCTACACTGGGCAAGACGTGCTTTCATCCGAACCTAGTAAATTGTCCGACGGGACTCGAGCCCCGGGTGTATGACTTGAGGGGAATTCCGATTTCCACCGTTGCCAAACCATCTACTCTTCTTCAATTCCCATGGCGTGACAAGCGAGATCGTGGTCAACCACTTGTGCTGATCCCATTGCGTGTTCATACTTCATGTTTGTAAGATGCCCCATGTTGCTCCATCCACCAACCGGTGGACAAAGTGAGAAAAATCCCAGCACCGTCTGAGTGACAGCCTCATGCGCCCACCGCCCGCATTGTGGGCACAGCAGGCCTCTCTCGGCAATAGCTCAATCTGTCTAAACTGCCAATTTGACACACGAACAGACAGCACTTGGTTTGTGAGGGTAGAACAAAGAGGTCAAATAGGTCACAATATGATAAACGAACCCGAACTAAACAGCAGGCTGAAGTGGCACTTCAGAGAGTTGCAGTTTCCTCGTCAACCCGGGTTTCAAGTGTGGGCGTTCATGTGTCTGTATGCTTTTGCATATTGCATATGTGTGTGTGGGTATTGCATAAGTCTGTATGCATATTGCATGTGTCTGTGTGTGAGCATATGTGGGCTTGCTTATAATCGTGGGGGTCATTGGTGCCAACCCCATTAGATATTGGCCTCTACAATTTGCGAAAATGATGCTGATTAAAGTTGCGATGCTTGTGCCCATCTGCTGATTAGGTAGCAGGCCTTTTTCTGAGAATCTAGCGCTTCAATGAAGAATTGAGAACACTGTCTTGGGTTGAAGAGCCAGGCCGCTGTGCGAGGGTTTGGAAAGAGAAGTGGCTCATCCGAAATGAATGTTTACAAAGTATCTTACAAGCTCATGTAAGGCGCCATTATGTCACGCCTTTGGCTCGGGCCGAGGTCACACCACAGATTGCGCATAAGTGTTCACTTAACCGGAGGATCTCAAGACAGCCCCTGTTTGCTACTGTTGGAAGATGGGATCCCGTAGCATGAGGCAGAGCGGAGGCTTCCTTGATTATCTCCTTACAAGGCAGTCTGTCCATTACGCGATTGCTACCGTGACGGCCACCGGGCCGAAAGAGACTGGATCTGTGGTGAACTGTATTTAGCAAATGGATGTACCGACGAGTGGGCAAATGAGAAAAGCGAACAAGCCTCTTGCTGCTTCCCGAAGGCGTCATGTTTGTCAATGACAAAGAGCTGTTCAGCATTCTTTTGTCCGCTGTCGGATTTTGATTAATAGATAGACAGAGCTGAATTGAAGAGGAGGCTTGACTTAGCATCCCAAATCACTTCGTTGTGCATGTCAAACTCCGTGTTCATCCAGATCGAGTTGAAGTTTTGAACCGGCACTGTTTCCATTGATAGCCTCAGCAGGCTTCGAACCAGCACTACAACTTTGTAGATACGAAGAGAGACTTGGTTTCGATGAATCTCCTGAGATAACGTTGTTAGGGGGAACTGCATTTCGAATGAAAGTACATGAAGAAGAGATTCGTTGGTCGATGATGAGGATGGATGAAACTCGTTGTACTGCAGCCGGTTGGATTTTATACGATATTCATGTTGAAATTCAGTGTGAAAGACATTTTTAATATTTTGACTTGATTGAGTCTATCTAAGAAGTAAGACATAGCCGGACAATGTTCTTGCTTTAGGGTTAACGTGAGACTTTTACAAGAATGAGACCCAGCTCTGATGATGTCCATCATATGATGGAGGAAAGCTCAGCACGTTTTCACCCGAAACGAGGGAGGAAGTCTCGTGGGCTGCGTCAACATGAATATCGTATAAAAGCCAAACGGCTGCAGAACAACGAGATTTATCCGTCTTCATCTGGTGAGATCGACCAACGAATCTTTTCTTCATACACTTTCATTCGAAATGAAGGTCCCCCTAACAGTTCATTGGTGCTTCAAAAGTTGGGGCAGCTTAGTTTTTATTTAAGGATTTCTGCTAGTTTAGCAAAACATAATAGTTAAGAAGTGGGTTGACTTCGTTGTGGCAACTTGGTGTTGTTGTCAGGGCGACTATGAAGAACGTACCTAGTCTGAAGTCGTCTGCCATAGTAGTTGTCAGGATTCCTAGCATCAGACAGGGGACTTGGTACATTCTCAAAC